TCGATGTTAATAATGCCTGAAGAATGAATAATAAAACATTCGCCAAATAACAAATTGATGAATGATTAAATTTATAATGAATGACAAATCTATGGTTATAAATCTAAGAAAAATTAAAAAATGCGATTTCTTTTTTAGGAATCATTGAAAAATGCCTGCAAAATGACAATAATGCATATTACGTGTACTTATCGAGATATAAATAAATAAATCAAAAAATTCAACATGTTAAATGGCATAATCAATTTTTTAAGTGTTTCCTTTTTTATTTTATTTTATTTATTTATTGTTTATTTTCGCTAACCCAGTAGAACAAATATTATAAAAATTCTGATAAAGAGGACGGAAAATAATAAAACCCACCAAAAATGTATATATTTACAAAAAAAGTGAATATAAAAACTGAAAAAATAATAGTCGTAGGAATGAAAAAAATACACAATTAAAACAAGAAATATGAACTGATTTTTTAATAAATTGTATTATTTTCATTTTTAATGCTCATCAATGCCCTAAATTAACTAACTTTTCTATTGACTGTGTATATTGGGGTGCCCACAGCTAGAGCTTTGACCCAGTTGGGTGACCCATATGGGTCACCTGACTCAGTGGGTTACGGGGCCAATTCGATTATGATATTTGGCTTTACCTTGTGCTGAAGATTTTACACCTTTATTATGGTGGCAAGTCCCAACATTAGCGTGTATGGCAAGGGATTATTTGTCAACCCAGGCAACCAGCGTAGCCTGTGAGCAGGCTTTTACGGTAGCAGGAAATACTATATAAAAGACTCGAAGTCGTCTTGATCCAGAAACATCAAGGACATCTCTTTGTTCTAAAAGCTGGATTGAAAATGAGATTCTAGCAGTGGTTAGTTATAGTAAAAATAAACATATTTTCTTGTTTTCTAATATAATTATAATTCCTGATTAAATAGGTTAAATCCGATTAAAAAGAAGTGAAAAGCGACTTTAGAATATTGTAAATAGCATTAAAGATCTAAAATTAACGCATATTGGGCGTTAATTTTTTTTTTTTTTTTATGAAATTAAATAGTTTCATTTTTTTTCAATTTTTTTTTTTTTTATAAATTTATCATAATACTGTATTGCAATAAAATTATTTCAATTTTCAATAATCCTATTATCATCACATGGTCTAACAACTATAACCTACAGCAGTTGTAAGTCGACTGTATTGGATTCGAAAATTAATAATAATGATAATAAATAAATACAAAAAATCAATTAAAATTTGGGTTAGGGTTAGGAATTAGAGAAGATTTTTATTATATAATATAATATAATATAAATTGGATATAAGGTCCCGATTGAGGTTTTAGGGGTCCTGAACATTTTTACTTTGAGTATCCGATCCCGTTTACTTAGTACATTTTTGAGAGTAGCAACACCGGTTATGATCACCATTGGTGGTAAATAGCAAACTTTTTAAATATATTATTAAATTGAGAATTAATATGGCAAAAATTTTCTAAAGTAAATTCTCCATGTCATTCCAGTAGAGGTGCGATCCGTAAGCTATTAGTTAATATAAATAAACTGTAGTTTATTGTAAGACTATAGTTTTAAAATAAACTATTATTTATATGTACTGTAATTCACAGTTCACATCTCTTCATTCCAGACTTAAACAATAGAAAAATATTCAATTGGTAATTGTTTTACAAATTTAAATTAAAATTTTAATTATCATGGAAAAAGAAAAATACAAGAAAGTTTAGAAGATTTATGTCAAATTTTTAAGCAATTGAATTTCAAAAAGATCGAAATATAGAAAACCATAGAATCTCTAAGTAAAAGTAAGAGCAATATTGAAATCTTTTGATTTTGGTTATTAAATATTATAGATTTTTACCCGCACCTAGATTACCAATTATGTCCCACGTTAATTAAATCAACTACATAAATTATACTTTTTTGCTATATAAAAAATAATATAAAGATATCAATATAAAGTTTAATTTAAAAAATGAAATTAACTTATTGCTGCATATTTGAGGAAAAGTATGTAATATATTATTCTGTAAGTTACAATATTAATATTTTCAGAACATTGACTTATTTCATTTATTAATTTGACCCTCTTTGAAGCAATATACTTTTTAAAATATGGAAGATTATATATTTTTTTAAATCTAAATTCATTTTTAATAATTTAATAACTTAACCAAATTTAATTTTTAAAAAGTTTTTACAAACTTGTAGAATTAATTTAAAAATTTTTTACTAAATTTAATAAAGTTTTTATTAAGCCATTCTTGTTTGAAGTTTTAAAAAAAACTTCTGGAAAAATATTTGCTTGGTTGTTATTAATTCAACCCCATATATTTTTTTTTAATATTTTCTTATGAAATCTGCATGCACTGTAAAATTAAAATTGTCATTATTGAAAATACATTAAACAAACAAAATTTGAATATTTGCTTGGTTTTTATTGATTCGACCCATACATATATATATATAATATTGTCCTATGAAATTGCATGCACTGTAAGATAAATTTTCATTATTGAAAATACATTAAATAAACAAAATTTGTAAATTTTGTTTACATGCAAGTGTTTAAAATTTAATCCTAAGTAACAATGAATTTTCATGTCTCGAATATACTTTTGTAATTTCTCAAACTCAAACAACTAAATTTAAAAGGCTGGGTGATTTGGATCTTCCATTCCAATATAATATCAAAGAAAAACCCCGTATAATAACCTTCCAGTTTTTGGGTTTATATCACTTGCACAAATGAGTACATGCGTTATTGTTTGTGGTTTTTACAGATAAGTGAATCGTTACAAATCTCTATTTAAGTTTAGTTAGTCGCAGAATCTCTTCAGGACCTCTTCATGACCTTTTCACTCAGTATTATTTTAGTTATTATGATGAACAATTTGCAAAAACTGTTTCAATACTTGCTCTTAATTAACTTTCATGAAACAAAAAAAGAAAGTAAAGTCGCGCAAGGATATTAATGCCGACTACAGACGAAACAAAAAGGTTAAAGAAGAAGCACATTTAAAACAATTAGAAGCTACAATAGAGAACCTTAGAAAAAAATTAGAATCTACAAAATGTAAAGCTTTCTATTTTGTGGGTCAAATGAAAGAGAAGAAAAAAGAAATATCAGAGCTTCGAAAGG